TGGCTCCCAGGCTTCCCTGCCCGGTCACCTGGGTCATCCCAATCCTCCGCTGGATCCTTCTCATCCTAGTGACAGGTGGCCGCCTCCCGTTCTTCCACTGCCGCATGTGTCTCTGTCCCCCAAATCAACCAGCCGCACAAGACTCCCCAAGGCTTCTCTGCGGCAGGACAGGCAGACGGAAGAATCAGGAAAGCACCATTACTCGGCGGGCATGGGAGCTCCTAGCACATAGCCATAGAGCGCCATTCTCACGCCCCTCCTCCAAGGGATTACCAATATTTCATCCTGCATGTCTCCCTGGTCCGTGGTTGAGATTGTGACTCAAAAATTGTAAAAGGTCACCTAACAACTTTTTACTGCTAGAAAATAAAATTTTATACATTAGAATTATTGTACCGTCCTTTGTATGGATTGGGTACTGGTGAGATCATTTCCAAGCTGGATTTCCTATCTTATTGGGTCACCAAATAATAAAAGCTTACTAAGATTCACAGTTTTGCCAAGTTCCCTTACTACAACCCTAAATGCGGTTGTCACACTAGTACATTGATCAATAATTAGATCCCCAGGCAGTTACCGAATAGTGAACATAAGTTTTACATAGATTTAGCCCTTGCTTGTTATTTCAGACATTTGCTTAATTTCTGAATATACTATTTACATGACCTTTATATATCCTACAGGATTCAATATTGCTGGCTGAAATGCATGTTTAAAGATCTATCTGCAGAGATGAGGATTTGCGTACTTGGGATGACAAAGAACGCCACTATACCACGTGAAGGATGCGCACCTGAGATGACGCAAGATGCCACAATACCATGTGAAGGATGTGCACCTGAGATGAAGCACGATGCCACAATACCATGTGAAGGATGCGCACCTGAGATGACACAAGACACCACTATGCCACATGAAGGATGTGCACCTAGGATAGCGCACGACGCCACTATACCACATGAAGGATGCACACCTGTGATGGAGCAAGACGCCACTATGCCACATGAAGGATGCGAACCAGGGATGGCGAAAGACGCCACTATACCACATGAAGGATGCGCACCTGGGATGAAGCTAGACGCCACTATGCCACATGAAGGATCCGCAATTGGGATGGCGCAAGACGCCATTATACCACATGAAGGATGCGCCCCTGGGACAGTGAAGAACGTCACTATGCAACAAGAAGGATGCACACCTGGAATGATGGAGGATGTAATTTTACCACATGAAGAAAACGCACCTGGAATGATGGAGGTTATCACTATACCACATGAAAGATGAGCACCTGGGATAGCGCAGGATGCCACTACACAACATGAAGGATGCACACCTGGAATGATGGAGGATGTCACTATACTGCATGATGGATGCGCACCTGGAATGACAGAGAATGTCACTCTATCGCATTAAAGATGCACACCTGGAATGACAGAGGATGTAACTATACCACAGGAGGAAGACAGGTTCTCCCCCCTTCATCGCCCATCCACCCATTCTCCCTCTTAACCCCTTAGTAGCTGCCTTCTTCCCGTCTGCCCATCCCCCCACCCGTTCTTCCTTCCCTCCACTTTCTCCCCACCCCCTATAATTTACCCCTTCTTCCTCGCTCATTCTTCCCCCCCCCCTACTTCCGCTTCTCCCCCCCTTTTATCTTCAACCCCTATGCCCCCCTCCACCCTGTCCCCCACTCAATCTTCCCTCCCCTCCCACTTCACCCCCCTCTATGCCCTTCCCCTACTCCTCCCTCCACCCCTTTTTTTTTCTCCCCTCCAACCCCTCCACTCCTCCCTCTACCCCTTCACCTCTTTCTCCCTCCCCTCCTCCTCCTCTCCACCCCTTCTTCCTCCTCTCCACCCCCCACACCTTCTCCCCCTGTCACTCTCCCCCCATCATCCACCCTCTTGTCCTTCTTCCCTCATCTGCCCTTCTCCTTGCATCATCCGCCTTGTCCCTCTTCTCTCCTCATTCACTTCTGTTTGCTTCCCACTCTTCTTCCCGACTCCCTTTCACCAACATTCTCCTCTCCAAAATGCCTTAGTTCTTCCCCACCTTCTCCCCCCAACCCCCACTTCTCTCCCCCCCCCCCATCTTTTTTGCACTCCTTTCCATCCCCCTCTTCTCCCCATCATACCTCTCCCCCCTTCTATCTCCTTAGCTCTCCTTTTCATCCCCCCTTCTTCCTTCCAACCTCCTCCTTTCCTAGCCCCCATAGGCCCACCTCCTCTTTCACTTCCTTCCTTCCCTCTCCCTCATTATCCAGCATCTCCTTCTTCCTGTTCTTCTATTCCCTCTATTTCCATCCCATCCTCTATCATCTTCTCCTCCCCCGAAAGTCTCCTCTCCTCCCCTTGCAATTCAAGTCCAGCCTCTCCTATCGCTTTTATTCCCTCTGTTGCTATCCCATCCTCTATTTTCTTCCTCCACGCCACTATACAACATGAAGGATGAGCACCTGGAATGACTGACAATGTCACTCTACCACATGAAGGATGCACACTTGGAATAACGGAGAATGTCACTAAACCACAGGAGGAAGACACAAGTTTTCTCTCTCTTAACTCCTTAGCAGCCGCCTTCTTCCCGTCCACCCATCTCCCCACCCATTCTTCCTTCCCTCCAATTTCTCCCACCCTCATTCTTACCTCCCCCCTATATTTTCACCCTATTCCCCATTCATTCTTCCCTCCCCCCCACTTCACCCCCTTCTCCTCCCTCCACTCAACTCCCCTCCCCCCTCACATCTTCTTTCATCCCATCATCCACCCTCTTGTCCTACTTCCCTCACCTGCCCTACCTTGCATCATCTGCCCTGTCCCCCTTCTCCCCTCATTCATTTGTCTTTGCCTCCCACTCTTCTTCCCCGACTCCCTTTCACCAACCCCTTCACCACCTTTCTGCCCTCCGACATACCTTCATTCCTCCCCACCTTCTCCCTGCTCACCCTTCTCCTCCTTTTACATCCTTCGCTCTCCTTTCCATCCCCCACTTTTCCCCTACGCACCCCTTCTACCTCCTTCACTCTCCTTTCCATCCCCCTTTCTCTTCTATTCCCTCTGTTTCCATCCCACCTTCTATCTCATCTTCCCCCCTAAAGTCTCCTCTGCTCCCCTTTCACAGCATGTCCACCCTCTCCTTCTTCCTACCACTCAGCCTCTCCCCCCTAGTCTCTGCATCCGATCTTCAGCCTTACTTTATTCTTCCCGCAACCCCTTTGCCTCCTCCTTCTTACCCTCTACCTCCCCCTTCACCCTCCTTCCTTCCTTTCCCCCTTCTTACCCTCTACCTCCCTCCACTCTCCTTCCTTTCACACCATAGCCCCACCTCCTCCCCTTCCCCTTCTCACCTCCCACCCTACTTCCCTCTTCCCAATCATCCACCATCTCCTTCTCCCTCTTTTTCCCTCTCAAACTCGCCCCTCTCTCTCCCTCTATAATCTCCACTCATCTCCTCCCCCCACCTTCCTTCTTCCCCTTCCACCATCTCCTTCCCTAACCCCCATGGTCCCCTTTCCTCCCTATCTACCCTACCTCTTCCCTCTCCATCATTCACCCTCTCTTTCTACCAATTCTCAAATGCGGCCAACATATTGGTGGAGTAACAAAACATAAGTGTCACGTGTGCCACCTGCTCACTCCCTTCCTCCCCCCTTGCTGCACACAGCCTTGATGCAGGCTGTGCGGGATGAGGGGGAGGGGACCCCTGCGGCAAGGGTCACAGCTCCCTCGGCAATTCAGCCGAAGAGCTGTGACCCCCCCCCCCCCAGGCCAGGAAATACCGGGGGGGGGGGGCCGCTAGGAGGCATCTGCGCGCCCCCGGTGGACGCAGGGCTTCCAACGCTTGGTGCCCCGCCGGAGACAAAGGCCGCGCTCCCTGCGCATGGTCGGAGTGAGGGGGGCGTGCAACCCAGAAGCATCCCGCGCGGCTTTTAAAAGACCAGCGCGAGACCAGGCTCGCTCTCTCTTTCCTTCCTCCTGCGCTGTCCGGCCGCTCTCCCTTGGCCCGCCGCCACTGCTGTCGTGGGAGGTCCAGGTGGGGACCCGGCCTCCGCAGCCATCCCTGCTGAGCGCTCTGCATTAACCCCCATCCTCAAAGGTCAGACCCCACAGCCATAACTCCCGCTGCTGTGCCTAGCAAGCTGGCCGCTGTGAGGGCCCCTGCTTGCTGATCGCTGGGCCCCTGGAGAAGCTGGCCGCTGTGAGGGCCCTTGCCTGCTGATCGCTGGGCCCCTGGAGAAGCTGGCCGCTGTGAGGGCCCTTGCCTGCTGATCGCTGGGCCCCTGGAGAAGCTGGCCGCTGTGAGGGCCCCTGCCTGCTGATCGCTGCTGTCCCCTGAAACGCTGGCCGCTGTCCGTTGCTAAGGGGCCCTGGGAAGCCGCCCTGTCTGCTGATTGCTGGGTCCCTGGAAGCTGCCTGCAGCTGAGCATCCGCAAGTCGCCTACCTCCCTGGAAGCCGCCTGCTGCTGAGCGTCCGCAAGTCGCCTACCCCCGTCCCTGGAAGCCGCCTGCTGCTGAGCATCTGTAAGACGCCTATCGTGAGTGTCCCTAGAAGCCATGATCTGCCCCTAGTGGGCGCACAGACCACCCGTGTCCTGAACTGCCCCTGTTGTGCGCAGAGACCCGTGTCATGAACTATCCCTATTGTGCACACAGACCACCCGTGTCATGAACTGTCCCTATTGTTTGCACAGACCACCCCGTGTCATGAACTGTCCCTATTGTGCGCACAGACCACCCTTGCCCCCTGTGTGCACGCACAGACCTGAGCTGCCCCTATTGCACACCACCCAGAGCTGCCCCTATTACCCAGACTACCCTTACTTGAACCGCCCCATGGCGTGCCCTGAGTATAGCTACCTGGGATGCCCCTGAGTGCTTGAGCCATCGCTACCTGCTGAGTCCCCGAGAGCCTGATGTCCCTAGAAAGCTGGGTGGGAGCTGTGCTGAGGTCAGTCCCCCTAGTCAAAGTCCCTTTGAGTCCCCGTGAGCCTGATGTTGTCCCTAGTACGCTGTGTGGGAGCTGTGTTGAGGCCAGACTCCACAGCCAAAGTCCCATTGAGTCCCCGTGAGCCTGATGTTGTCCCTAGTATGCTGTGTGGGAGCTGTGTTGAGGCCAGACTCCACAGCCAGAGTCCCATTGAGTCCCCGTGAGCCGGATGTTGTCCCTAGTACGCTGGGTTGAGGCCAGACTCCACAGCCAAAGTCCGTTGAGTCCCCGTGAGCCAATGTTGTCCCTAGAAAGCTGTGTGGGGGTTGTGCTGAGGTCAGACCCCATCGCCAAGGCTCCTTGGAGTCCCTGTGAGCCAATGTTGTCCCTAGAATGCTGTGTGGGGTTTGTGCTGAGGTCAGACCCCATCGCCAAGGCCCCGTGGAGTCCCCGTGAGCCCGCTTACCGTGGGTGTCCCTACAAGCCGCATTTTGCGGAGTGCCATGAATGGTCCTAATTGAGTGTCTTTCATAGTTCAATAAAGCTTGGTGTCTTCCCCATCTTCTTTGTGTGTTCTGTCCTGCCTACGCTTCCGTCACACTAACACAAGTAAAACAGAAAACAGTGCGGCATTTATCCTCAACAGTATGCTCTCAAAGACGGTACTAAAGTACAATACTATTAGTAATAGAGGCATCTCAATCCTTCTATAGAGAAGGCCAATCAATGTCACCTCAACAACAACCGCTGAAGATGAGGATGTAGAGTTGTTTTACAAACAACTTAAAAATGCAATAAATGAAGCAGTGAATCAAGATCTATTGCTCATCATGGGGGACTTCAACGCAATGTAGACTGCAATCTGAAGATGAAATGAAGCCAGTGATAACTTCATACAGTTTTAGAAAACTAACCAACCGCCCTTCACGTATACATGATTCCAGCACCACAAGTGTCAGCTATACGCATGGACCTCTCCAAATGGCATGCATTGTAATCAAATTGACTACTTCTCTTAGGACAGAGGTGGAAATCTGACAATAAAGACTAAACCAGAAGCTTATTGTGGCAGCGACCAGGAGCTTTTTACGTGCACAATCAAGGTAAAGCTTTGGAAGAAGAAGATCATTAGAGGCCCTCCAAGATATGATAAAAATGAGAATATTCCGCAAGATTACTGGAATCAACTAAACAACAGATTTGCAGTTCTGGGTACAGGAGGCCGAAAGCCCGAAGAGTTATGGAATGACATCAAACCCATAATTACTGAAGAAGCTGAAAGAATATTACAGAAGAGGGAAAAAGCCAAGAAGTCAATTTGGATTTCAGAAGAAACTAGAAAAATGGCAGAACAAAGAAGACAAGCCAACATTTCTGTTGATAGTAAAAGTATCTCAAATGAATCAAATACATGCTGGTAGGTTAATTGGTTCCTGTCTAAATTGGCCTTAGTATATGCATCAATGACCTGAGATAGTAAGCTGCTTGAGTTCAGGGGCTGATGTGAATGTACAATATATATGTAAAGCACTGCATAACTGATGGTGCTATATAAGCAACTGTAATAAATACATTGAGCGAGAGCTACCTGAAGCGAAGCTCAAGCTGGGTTCCGAGAACATTGAGGAACAAGAGACATTATTGTGAATGTCAGATGAACACCTAAACTTACAGGTGGCTCCCTGCTTCTAAAATAGAACAAAATACTTATGAAATGCCCAAATACAAAGCAGATCTACTTCTAGGCATAGATATGGCCTACATATTGTCAGAATACCTCAGGCACTCACAGCACATGTGAGCATACGTTATTTGCATTTTGTAGAGTAGAGTAGGGACTGGCCAGAAAGGGATTACTTTGACGTAAACTTTAAAAAGCATGAGAACCAAAAATCCCTGTTTTCATTCAGAATTTTTAGAGTCAACTGCAATTTGAGACGCTTTGGAGATTCATTGAAGAATTAAAAAAAAAAAAATTGTAAATTTTAATATTGTTGCCTAAAGCCAGGGGATCAGTTCTAGTAAACGCCTCCCCTGCTAACTTGGTATTTCTTTTCTTTGTTCCTCCTTTTTTTTTGCCTGGCCCTGGCCCCGAAGCGCTCCCCTTTCAAAGAAATTGTGAAAAAAAAATATTTAAAAAAAAAAAAAAATGTAAAAAACAAAAATTACTGCCACCATCCACTACCCTACTGAAACCAACCTCTGCCCTACTGAAACCATCCACTACTCTACTGACTGACAACAACCTCTGCCCTACTGACTGACACTGTCCATTTTTAAGGTAGGCAAAGTTTGTATTTTTACAGTGACATTGGTTTTATTATATTTTCTAAACTAAGCCTTGCTAGTTTTTTTTTTTTTTTTTTTTTTTTTTTTTTTTAAATGGTGCTGAACCCCGGTGATCTCTTTCATGTTGTTGACATAGAGCTCCAACTCTCAAAGGTTGCCTACCCTTGACCTACACTGTTCTGATATAACATAGCACACCAGCTGCTTCATTTTAATGAAGAGTCTGGTGTGAACAGACCCTCAGCTGACAAGACAGAAGTGGGTGGTGTACACATGCTGCAGCCACTTTGCTTTGCAGCTGCAGAAAGGATTATACCCTTTGTTGCATTTGGCAGACACTACTGAACAATGAACATGACCCATTCAAATAAAAAAGGTAAGTGTTGCAACCTCCCTATAACTGTGTGCAATGCACGTGGTTGTGGTGGTAACAGCATTTAGGGTGTTAAACCAGGTGGAGAGGAGGCAAATTTATCGCCTCCTCACCACCTGTGAAATGCATCTGAAAAGTAGTCTGTGTGGGAATTGCTTTTCAGAGGAGCAGCATTCCTTTTCAGCCAGAACAGCAGAGTGAGGGACATCCGGGGGGGGGGGGAAGGGGCGGTGTTCATCAGTATGCCAGGACTGATCAATTACTTCCTCAGCCTCAATATCTACAGCTACTTCCTGCACTCTGTATGCAATCCAACTTTGAGCCGCATATATACAGCACGCTCTCTCACTGCTGTGTGTGCACATCAGGGGAGTGGAGTGTGGCCGGGGTAGACTGGCTGCTCCGTTCTATTCATTCACTCCACAGTGCTGTGCTCTGACCATCCTCTCTCACTGTCTCACTGATAGGATTCATGAGAGTGAGAGATTGAGCAACAGGATCAGTACAGCACACTGCACCTGCAGCCAGCTTTCAGCCTGAAATTCTGACAATTGCAGGGGATTAAAGATGCTGCTGCACTGCTGAATAAGGCTAGGTTCAAACCTATGCAGTTTGTGTTTGATATGTTTCTCCAGTGCTTTTTGTAGTGTGTTTTGTGGTTTTTGACCATGCGTTTTTGCCATTTTTTTAATGTGTTTTTTTTTAAATGCATTAAAAAACGCATCAAAAACGCACTACATGCTTTTCTGCAGCATCTCCATTGAAGTCTATAGAACCAAAAATGAAATATTTTGCATTTAGAAAAGTCCCTGACCCTTTCCAAAAAACACACCGGGTGAAAAACATGGAGATGTGAACGTGTCCCAAAGGAAATCATGTTAAATGGACTGCTGTGCTTTTCTGCAAAACGCAACGGAAAACGCATAGGTGTGAACCTAGACTAAATTTCTGTGTGCGGTGTGTGACAGGGAACAGTGTACCCTGCACATATGATATGTCACTGGTCCTTGGGGGGGGCACCACTGATATCTCGGGGGCAAAGCCCTCCCCAGCATCCCCCCTAGATCCGGCCTTGTTATGTGCTCTTCGTTTTCCTTCCTTTGTGTGGAATCCCTGGTATTTCTGTCAGTATCTGTGCATTCTTATTAAAAACTGATCAAACTAAGCAGGGAGAACACTGTGGCCAGTTCTCTAGCTATGTTAGGAACTGAGCCTGCTCTCCTCCAATGAACAGACTTGTAACCCCCCAATGCACAGCCATTGACTGGGAAGATCAGTGCGGTTTCTCCTTCCTTAGCTCTTATGCAGCTGAGAACAAAGGATATGTGATCACTTATAAAAATGGGAAAAAGTGTTTATTTTTATACATAACAATAAACAAATGTTTTGCCTTTCAGTTCTATTTTAAACTGAATGGGTTGTTTTGCAAGGGGAGGGTTTACATATACTTTAAGACTGTCTCAAACTTTCTATCTGCAGAATCACTGAATGAAGGAGCATCTACAATTGGTCCAGTGCAATGTTTAATTAAGACTGAAGCGGTATGATCAACTACAAATAGACCTGTTTGGCTAACTCTTTTTCCACTGGATAGAGTACAGCAAAGATTTTGGAGAGGAGTAAAGAAATATTTGGTGAGTGATTCAATCGTCACAGATTGCACATTCGTATTTTATACATGAACAGGGAACATCTTTGAGGGTTTTACAGGTCTATTTGTACCCAAATGGGCATGCAAGACAAAAGGAAAATCAAGCTGCACAATGCAAAGGACTTGGCGGGCAACAGCAGTCAGCTTTTTCACATTAGCAAGCAGCATGTTTGAAGTTCCCTCTTCAATAATACGGCAACCTGAAGTAAGAAAAAATATTTCACAGCTTCCTGCAATACTACCTCAGCATCCTCTTCATTCCTTTCTGTATCTTCCTCGTCAAGGTCAAGGATATTAGGATCCACTAAAGTAGAAGAGGCCGTGATTTGGGGTAAGAGGGAATAAAGGGGACTTCTTTGATGTACTTTCACAGCCCGCACTACCTCTTCGCCACCACCAGAGTGAGACTCCACTCCAATCCAGATGGCTGACCACATACTGGCAGATACAAATCTTATATACAATCTGGTGCACCGATTAGAGTTGAGGGGCAGCTTATCAATCACACACCCTTCTAGGATCCCTCCAGCTATCCTACAGCTAGAACCCCGGTGTTAATCACTCTTCCACTGTCCAAACCCCTCCACACCAGACACACCACAAACGGTAGCTGGCCACCACCCAACAGTTTATCCGCAGAACGGTCTGTTGGGACACCCACACACACAGATCTCCATCTGGCAGATCTGCTACCTTAATCTGCATGCAATCTGCCTACACGCAGTGCAATTGCATACAGATTGGCAATGAGCTTGACCGAGCAAATAAAGGTACTAAAATACAACACAATCTAATCACTCCGATGTAATCTCTCCGGAGATATGAGCCTGCTTAAATACACAGAAGTCACTTATTAATTTTAAGATTTAATATCCCAAAAGTGGGCAGTGCATAAAATATGTACAAAATATAAAAAGTTACAGAAAATACAAAAACTACAAGAAGACACACGTAGACTATTCACTATAAAATAAGAGGGAATAAGAAAACAGAGATAAAAACTTTTACCAAGGTCTATCCTGCCATTGGAGCAAGTCAGGGAGAGTCAGCAATCCGTCAGTCAAGTCGACCTGGCTCCATACGAATCACACTACCCAAATGTCCGTGTCCTCAATTTATGGGGATATGGACGTAAACTGGACAGGAGTTCTTAGCCAACTGACTCTAGTGGGTGTTCCTGTACCCGCCCACAGGCTGTTCTGGGTGCCGAACTGCCCAAAGTCAATTGGACCAAGACCGGCTTGAAT